TTTAATGGTAACACCACGACAAGTCTACATAATTCCCAACTCAAACCTTTTTTAATGGATTTAGAGGAGATTAAGAAAGTTAAGCCTGAGGACTTATGAGAGTTTTTAAGTGAGGACCATAATCAATTTAGTTCTCTCAATGTTTCGTTGAAAAGCATTTTAAGCACCAAGCGAACCAGCATCACATTAAGCAAAAATAGTGTTCGTTCCTTTTATAAGAAAGAGAAAAAAGTCACCCTAACGGAAAAAGTTAGAAACTACGAAAAGAAGTTAAAAGACGACTGCTTAACCGACGCCCAAAATTGCGATTATTTTAAGTTCTTCAATCGCAAAGAAAAGCGGTTATATACTCGCTTCCTAGATAAAATTGAGGCTAATTTTGAAGGCACGGAAGCCAAACAACCCGCCCTTTTCTTAACTCTAACCTTTAACACCACGCAAGATAATTTATACGCTTTTACGACCAACGCCGACCCCAATCATGAGTGCTGACAACCGCTTACGGAAGAGTTAAAAAAATGAGCTCAGAGTGTTGACCCGCATTGCGAAACCAAGATTATTTTACTTCGCAAAATGCGTAAAGAGGACGTGAGTAATTATGAAAAAGCCAGCCAATATTTAACGAAATTTCTCCGAAATGTGCGTCTCAAATGGAAGCCGAAAAATTGAAAATGAGTAGTCATTGCCGAATTACAAAAAAACGGTGTCTGGCATTTTCATTTACTTTCCACTCCGCTAATTCCTTATTCTCATAAATGTTGTGGCGAAAAAAATTTTGCCTCTTGTTGGAATTGTCGCGGTCTCCTTTCGGAACTCTGACCTTATGGACGAGTAGAAAGCCGCACTCCGGGCAAAAAAACCGTGGGGCAATATCTCGCTAAATATTTAGCGAAAAGTTTTCATTTGCGGTCGCTTTATCGGCAACACGGATTTAAAGAGCATAACAAAGCCTATCGTTTTTTTAAAAATCTTTACGATTACGAGGAAAGAGAGGCAGCGTTCGCAGGAAAGGGTAAATTTGATAAAGAAACCCAGGAGCGGCTAAACGGCAATCAGCAAATATTCCGCCGTTATGATTATAAATCCCGCCAAACTTCTTATTTTTACCGCACTAATGAAAAGCAAACGGGAGAAGCCGCCCAACCTTTTCGCCGTAGCAAAAATTTTCGTTTGTCTACTTCCTTAAACTACCGAAATTTAGCGAAATTAGCCCGAAAAAGTAAAAAAAAGGAAGCCCTAAAATTATCTTTCGG